CTGGGCTCAGCCTCCTGCCTTTGTGGCCAGTACAAACCTTGAGGGGCCAGGGCCGACCTTGGGCTTGAGTCATCTTTTCTCTACCCTGGTGGCTGGTAGGAGGTTTCCATGCAGCTGGAAACAAAACGGGCCATGTCAGCGGTCTGCTGCTGCCTCCTCAGCACTCGAGTCAGGAGCCAGAGAGGGGGAAGTGAGGCAGCGCCTGTGTCCTCAGGGCCATGGGGGAGGTGGGTGGGCGGGCAGACTTCCACAGACAGAGCTCTCTGGGGTCCGCTGCTGGGTCCCGGGGCCATGGGGATTCCCTCCTGCCTGGCCCAGCTCAGGGACTCCTCCAGGACGCACACGTACAGGTGCTGCGCGTCCCCCTGCCTCCTCAGACTACAGATAGGGCCACTGTGTTTCCTGAAGGTCAAGTCCCAGGGTGGCCGGTCAGGAATGGGTCGAGTTCAAAGTCGGGGATTGTGGCTAGCCAGTGTGCCCTGAGGTGGCAGGAGCGTTTAGGAAGCTGGCCACCCAGCCTTCACCTGGCGGTAGAACAGTGTGTACTTCAGGCGTCCCCGCATAGCCAAGCGTGGAAGAGTGTCCTCAGGAAGCAGAGGGCCAGCAACACCCCTGGGTGCCAGCAACACCCCTGGGCTGGAGCAAACTGAGGGACTAGGGAGGTTTCCAGCTGGATCTCCCTGAGAGGAGAAATGGGTGGTGTTTTTTTTGAAAAAAAAAGAAAAAAGAAAAAAGATTTTATTTATTTTTAGAGGACGGCAAGGGGGTGAGAAAGAGAGGGAAACATCAATGTGTGGTTGCTTCTTGCACGCCCCCTGCTGGGGACCTGGCCCATAAGCCAGGCATGTGTCCTGACTGGGAATCGGACCGGTGACCCATTGGTTCACAGGCTGAAGCTCAGTCCACTGAGCCACACCAGCCAGGGCTCCCTAGGCTTTTCTTCTTCTGCCCCTTGTTGTATTCCTCCTCGGGGAGTGCTCCTGAACTGGCTCAGGTGTTCGCAGGCTTCCCGTCTCCTGCCCTTGCCAAGTGTGGGTCTATAAAGCATATGTGTCCCGCAGCCCCCGTGGCACGAATGCGAGCGCACAGACTCCGCTTGCCTGCTCAGGCCTGCTTTGGTTGCCGTGTCGGGGGCTTCTCTGTGCCCAGCTCGGGGGACGGCTTCTGAGTGCCAAAGCCTGGACACAACGGTGGAGATAGTGGGGGTGGCTTCCTGAGCGCCTCCCTGCCCGGTAACACCACCTTCCCTCCTACAGCGGCCTTCCTCACACAGACCGTCTGCTTGGACGACACAACAGTCAAGTTTGAGATCTGGGACACAGCTGGCCAGGAGCGGTATCACAGCCTGGCCCCCATGTACTATCGGGGGGCCCAGGCCGCCATCGTGGTCTATGACATCACCAACACAGTAAAGATTTTCCCTTACTTCTCGATCCTTGTTCCTGGATGGGGTATGGGCAGATTTCCTCTGTTGTTTGGGGGTGTCTCAGGCTGGTGACGTCTTAGACACCTTGGCTCTGCCAGCTGGAGCTTCTCTAGTGAGCGGCCTTGGGCAGAATGCCTCCTCTGTCCCTTTGACATTCCGGCCCTGTCTTCCCAGGATACGTTTGCACGGGCCAAGAACTGGGTGAAGGAATTACAGAGGCAGGCCAGCCCCAACATTGTCATCGCGCTTGCGGGTAACAAGGCAGACCTGGCCAGCAAGAGAGCCGTGGAATTCCAGGTGTGGGGGATGGGCAGGACTTGGGAGAGGAGTGAGCCTGCTGCACGGGGCCTTCCTCGGGCTACGCAGGGACTTCAGGAAGGGCCACCCTGGGAGGCAGCGGGGGCGCTTGTATCTTCTGTCCTCGCCTGACTTGAGCCTGGGCCAAAAGGAAGTGCCTCTCCCTGTTTCGTGGCAGTAGGGGGTGTGTGCATACAGGTAGCTGAAGTTTCTGCTTATTTTTTCTGTGAACTTTTTAATGAGACTTACTGAAAAAGAAACACTTCTTTTCATGTACTACATACACATAGTAAAATTTAAATAGTACAAGAAGGTATATAGAATCAAATTTAAGTTTCTAACCCTAGAAAGTCAATCTCCCTTCCCCCAAGTTCCTCAGTTTCTCATCTTTTCAGAAATATGTGCATGCCTGTGAATCCCTTTCTTCAGTAGACAAGAGTGTTTTACATATTGTATACTTATTATTTTTTACCAGTCCCTAACTGCTGGACTTTGAGGTTGTTTGTAATAAGAAAAGACTGGGAACAATGTTGCAGTCAATATGCACATACTTCTGTGCTTTTGTTCAAATGCGCAACTGTAATTAGTAGGCTGATTTTCTAGAAGTATTTCCTAGCCTACTGATTTTGAAGAGCAAGAAGGCAGAATGGACATAGGGACATCTGCATAAAACATCTGCCGATGTTCGCGAGCTGAGAGGTGCCGTGCCCGAAGTGGGGAGCAGGGTGCGTGGTGTAGATGTCTCAGACGGACCCAGACTGGAGAGCTGTAGGCCCGGAAACCCCTGTGTTGTCTCTGTTGTGTATAAAGCACTGTAATCAGGGAAGACTTTTTTATTCCGGGCCCCAGCCCCTGCCATCTGTCAACATTTCCCTCCCACCCACTTTCTCACCTCCATCCAAATCAGGAAGCACAAGCCTATGCAGACGACAACAGCTTGCTGTTCATGGAGACATCAGCGAAGACAGCAATGAACGTGAATGAAATTTTCATGGCAATAGGTAAGCCGCCTCCCCTCCTCTTCCCCCACAGGGGCATAGCACTTGCCGGCTGTTCTGTAGTAGTCTGTGGGGCCCCTTCGCTGACCGATCTTTCGCCCTTTTCAATATTGTAATAAAATCACTTTTTTCTTTATAAAAATCACTTTTTCTAGCTGTAGATAGTTCACCCCAGAAGTTTCTAAAGCCTGGGTCAGAGTCTCAGTGTTTCACTTCCTGACTTTTGAGTTCGCCATCCACCTAAAACCCACTGTCACCATCCTACCCGTTTCTTAGGGGTTTTTTAGCCCATTGGGTTCTGAAGTCACTCCGCCTTGGTTCAAGTTCTAGCTCCACCACTTTTTAACTCTGATCTTGAGTAGGTCATTGCACCTCTCTTTGCCTCAGTTTCCTGAAACACTCAGAATGCACCTGGCACGTGGAAGTGAAGCCTCCTATCACCGATTGGGTGGTGAAGGCCGATCCTATTCAAGTGGACTGGGAGGCAGTATTGGAGTATCCCCCCAAACACGTTTCCCTCCTCTCCCAAACAGCTAAGAAGCTCCCCAAGAACGAGCCCCAGAATGCAACTGGTGCTCCGGGCCGGAACCGAGGTGTGGACCTCCAGGAGAACAACCCAGCTAGCAGGAGCCAGTGCTGCAGCAACTGAGCCCCCCTTGCCTGCCCACTGCCCCCAGCTCCTCCGCCTGAACAACCCGACTGGAATCCACTCTAACCGATCGCACTTAACTACTCGGGCCACCACTGGGGGGTGGGGGGGCAGGGGGAGGGGTCCACCATGATTTCTCCATATAATTTTGTTCATAGGCCGGAGTGAGTTATCCCACCTGCACCTTTCTGTACAAATACTAATGCAATTTTAAGTCTTAAGTCACTTTTTTAATATATATGATCTTCTCTTCCCACTTCCTGCCCTTTCTACTGCTCTCCCACTCTCCCTTTGCTGGTTGTAGCCACGTGCCCTTGTTCCCCCCACCCTTGTATATGGGGCGGCAGGGGTTGGAGCAGTTACCCTCTTTTGCTCTTGCTGATTGGCAGGCTCAGCAAGAGCATCCATATCCTTAATGTGTTGGAGGTGTGCTTGGTTCTGGGCCATGGGGCAGGCCCTAGGGACTAGGGAAGGGAGAGACAGCTCTTCCCTTGGCTGGCTGGCTGGCTGGCATCAGGCTGCAGTCCCCCCTCACCCCTCCCTGATTCTCAGCTGGGAGAGAAACCACAGCATTATTGTGACAGCCACAAACCCATTGCCCACAGTCCACCCCCCCCGCCCCTCATCCTTGGTCACCCTGACCTCTGGCTCTGAGCCCTGTTCTGACCAAATCACGATGATGAGTATTTGTGGGTGGGTGGGTAAGGGGGGGGAGTGGGAGGGAATGGAACCAACTTTTTCTGTATTTTGTATTGTATGTTTTCTTCAACATGTAACCAATCAGTATCTTGTCAATATAGTCAGCCAATGGATCGACCTCCTGCTTGTCTGTCTTGTCTCTCTCTAGCAGAATTTATCAGACTATGTGCTCTCTAGCTTACTTACAGTTAATTTAAAATGGACCGCTGAATCTTGTTAAACAAAGCTGCCCACCCCCCCGGTGAGGGGTTCTGATGGCCGTGGCGGGCAAGAGAAAGAGGCCCTTGCAGTTAGCAGTGCTTGGCGGCTGAGGGGCTGAGCAAGAATGACCTGGGACCGAATCTCACCAAGTCTGAAGTTGAGGGTCCTGCATTTCCCTCTCCCCCACCACCTCTAGATCATATTGGGGTGATGTGCAGTCTGGATTTGAAAATAGTTGGTCTCAAAACCAAAACACCACAAAAAGGGGGGGTGGAAGGAGGTTGGTCTCTGAAACCAGAAACAAGCTCTTTGGGGGTTTTGGTTGATCTGTGTCAGGACTGTGAGGGCATGGGTCCTCTCACCCCTTCCCTGAAGAGGAAGCAGCACCAATGAGCAGCCTCACGCCAGGTCTGAGCCCTCGGTCCCTGGTCTCCAGTGGGCCCCCTGCTGGTTCTGGAACCAGGCGGTCTTCGGGCCCTGCCGGCCCTCCCGGCCCTCTGCTGCTCCCTGCTGGCGCTGCTGGGCAGAGCAGAGCTGAGCGGGGCCACACCGCTCTTCCTCTCTAACCACTTCCCAACCCCACCCCCTGCCCGCCCCAGCTTCTCCCAGGACCACAGAGGTCTGACTTTTAGTTGACCACCACCTTGAGGTGCCTTTCCAGCTCTGGCCCCAGCCCTGAGAAAAGACCACGGATGCCAAAGGCTGCTGCTCACTGTGGTGGTTTACTGGGTCAGGCTGGGTTGGAACCCATCTTAGAGTCGCGAATCCTGAGTCTTGAGGACTGTCCCGTTGGGGGTTCAGGGGGTGGCAGCACACGGCACTGGCCCTGGACACACAGATGGCCCGAGGGGGTCAGGAAGCAGGTCATGGCGGCGGGATCCAGGTCCGGCGGGAGCAGCACTTGGCGGCGCACCTTCTGCGCCATGCGGTAGGAAACTCCATCCGGGCTGTAGCTCTCCTTTTGCCGCTGGCCCATCACCTTCAGGCGCTGGCCGTCCACTTGCACCACCAGTTCCTCGGGACGGAAGCCATGGGCATCCACCTTCATCTGGAAACCATTCTCCGCGTGGACATTGTCCTGCACAGCTGCCCCATCATCTCTGAGCAGCTGCACTGGCAGCGTGGCCACCTGGTTCTGTGCTGCGAGGGCTGCGCTGGGACAGCAGGACGCCACCTGGCTCCCGCTGGGGAGACCGCTACCGACCTGCTGCATCCGAATGAGCAACTGCTGTCCAAGGGCACGAGGCTATTAATAAATACAGCTCCCAGCGCTCGCGCGCAGGGATGGGACGCGAGGACGCAGGGTCCTCCGGCGCCCCGCCCAGCTCCTCTCCGGCTCAGCTCTGCTTTGTTCAGCGGGGCTCCCTGTGCTTTGGCAGAGGCAGAGTCTGGGGTCAGCTGTGCACGTACTGCCTCCATGGGTCACGTTGTCATTCTCCCTGGCACGCCCGTAGCTGCTTTTATCCTGGGCCCTGCCCCTTTCCTGGGCCCCACCCCAACTCCATCAGAGAGCCTAACTGGGTATGCCAAAGGCCGGAGGGTGGAAATGACACTGAGCCTTCGGGGCTCTTGCCCTTCCAAGAATCTGGCTTGGGGACAAGAAGGATTGTCTCCTGGACAGAGCCTTTGGAGTCCCAGCACAGGGTAATCCATTTTAGGAATGCCCTGCCTTTTCTCTGACAGGGCACAACCCTGTGACACATTGGGGACTGGGAGGTGGACATGTCTTCCTGGCTTCATTCATCCACGCCGGGCCAGCTATGCTGCAGGCACGGGCTGAGCTCAGGGACCACAAAGGTTAAGACGCTGGGCCAACCCTCGAGGTGCCCACGGTGTTGAGGGGAGAGGCTCTCACACACGGGCAAAGGCTCCCGCCCTCCTCTGCCTCTACTCCATCACCACTTCGGTAGCCTTGTTCGTGACCACGGCCAAGCCTCTGGTGCTCCGTACTTTTATAATAAACCCTTTTTATGGAAGTATAATGTGCATACAGAAAAATGCACAAAAAAGGTACAGCTGAATTATCCCGAAGAGAACACACCTGTGTAACCGCTTCACAGGTCAAGAAATAGAACTGTTGCTGCTTAATCTCTATACCTGCAATTTTGTCTCTGGAGTCAGAGGAGACAAAACTGGGACAGGGGAGAGGGTGAGGGTAGGAGGGAGATGTGCCAGGAAGCCAACTCTGCCCCAGGCCTGCCGTTCCACCTGCGGGGTTTGAGAGGAGGGCAGAGCCCACAAGTCCCACAATCAGAATCAGACTCCTGTTTTCTAGGATGCTACTCCTTATCCCCAAGAGGACAGCAATCTCGACTATCCTGGACGCCTTCAAGAGAGATTAAAAGTGAGGAGGAATCGATCTGCGGCGCTGGCTTGGGCTTCGTTCACCTGTCTGGTACCGAGGGACAGGATAGAAAAGTCTGGAAGGTGGAGGCAAAGGGAGCAGCAATGAAAGACTACAACTCCCATCACGCTCCAGGGCAGCGACGCATGCGCACTGAACGCCCGTTGCCCATGCGGCCCTAGGGCAGGGAGCGCCGCGCCGCGCTCCGCTGCCGGGGAGGCCATGGCGGAGCCTTCCCAGGCCTCGACCCCAGCACCGGCCGCGCAGCTCCGTCCCCTTCAGTCCCCAGCCCCTGCCCCAACTCCGACCCCTACCCCCAGCCCGGCCTCGGCGCCGACTCCGGCTCCCACCCCGGCACCAGCCCCCGCCCCAGCTGCAGCCCCAGCCGGGAGCACCGGGACGGGGGGACCCGGGGTAGGAAGTGGGGGCACCGGGAGCGGGGGGGACCCGGCTCGTCCTGGCCTGAGCCAGCAGCAGCGCGCCAGCCAGAGGAAGGCGCAAGTCCGGGGACTGCCGCGCGCCAAGAAGCTCGAGAAGCTAGGGGTCTTCTCGGCTTGCAAGGTGGGGGCGGGGCCTGGGGTGAAAGGGGGCGGGGCCTGGGACATCCTAGGGCTCGGGTAGCAATGGGAGCAAAGCTCTGGCTGGGGAGCGTCGCTCTTCGTCCCTGGGTATGTACAGGGTTTTTGACTGACCCTTCTGTCTCCAGGCCAATGAAACCTGCAAGTGCAATGGCTGGAAAAACCCCAAGCCCCCCACTGCACCTCGCATGGACCTGCAGCAGCCAGCTGCCAACCTAAGTGAGCTGTGCCGCAGCTGTGAGCACCCTTTGGGTAAGGCAGGTAGTGCCCTTGTTGCTGGGGACAGGGAAGAAGCAGGTGCTAGCTCCTATCTGGACAGGATGACTTAAGGGCCACAGAGCTTCTTAAAAACCAAAAATGCCTTCTAAGGAGGGATTGGGGTACCCTAATCCCTCCTTAGAAGGCTACCTACAAGGTGTGCCCCAAGTGGAAGAGAAAGGAAATCCGCCAATACAGAAGATATAAGGGGCCACCCAAGGGCTGACACAAGAACAGTCAGCCTTGTTGCTGTTCACAGTGGCTGGAGGGACTGAGGGTGTATCATGGCCGATGATGAAGAGGAGCAGGACGTCCTGTTGTTCTCTCTGCCCATTCTTTCCGACTCTGCCACCTGTTCTTTTTGCAGCTGACCACGTGTCCCACCTGGAGAATGTGTCAGAGGATGAAATTAACCGGCTGCTAGGGATGGTGGTGGATGTGGAGAATCTGTTCATGTCTGTTCACAAGGAGGAAGACACAGACACTAAACAGGTTTATTTCTACCTCTTCAAGGTGAGCTTCCTCCGAGTGAAAGTGAGTGAGCAAAGGAGTTGAGACTGATGAGTCTACAGCTCTGTTCTCTGCTGACCTCTACCCCTCCCTCTTCCTCTTCCTCTTCCTCCAGCTCCTTCGGAAATGCATCCTGCAGATGACCCGGCCTGTGGTAGAGGGATCTCTGGGCAGCCCTCCATTTGAGAAGCCTAATATTGAGCAGGTGGGATACAGAAGGGGGCGAGAGAATTGGGAGTATCTTGGAGGAATGAGGAGCCTGTGTTCTCCATCCTCCTCAAGCTGGAACAGGGGAGAGGTTCCAAGAAGGGAAGATGTTTTGTGCTAACCTCAAGGCGTGCACGGGGGTAGGGAGTGGGCATAGTTTCTCTTCGCTGGGAGCCTCAGAATGAGAGGAGAGCCTTGCCCCTGCCTTCAGGAAGCCCCTAGTTTTAGATAAGATGTCCATGCTGGCTGCCCACCCTTCCCTCCTGCTTTTGTCCCCCACCCACCCCTTCGCAGGGTGTGCTCAACTTTGTGCAATACAAGTTCAGTCACCTGGCTCCCCGGGAGCGGCAGACAATGTTCGAGCTCTCCAAGATGTTCTTGCTCTGCCTTAACTACTGGAAGCTTGAAACGCCCGCCCAATTCCGGCAGAGGTCTCAGGCCGAGGACGTGGCTACTTACAAGGTCAATTACACCAGGTAGGCCCCGCCAGGGACGGCATGGGGAGAAGATTATGGGCTCAACCTGGGCTCGGTTTCTACTCTCACCGCGGCCTCATTCTCTGCAGATGGCTCTGCTACTGCCACGTGCCCCAGAGCTGCGATAGCCTCCCCCGCTACGAGACCACGCACGTCTTTGGGCGAAGCCTTCTCCGCTCCATCTTCACTGTCACCCGGCGGCAGCTGCTAGAGAAATTCCGGGTGGAGAAGGACAAGCTGGTGCCCGAGAAGAGGACACTCATCCTCACCCACTTCCCCAAGTAAGGCTCCTTCTGGCCTATCAGGATTTTGCCCCAAGTTCACATCATCCCTGTTATCCCCTTTTCTCCAGGAAGGCTTCCAGGATTGGTCCTGCCCCTCCCTCCATGAGCCCTCTGGGATCTGGGCATCTACCTGGCAGACGTGCCCGTAGCCCAGATGGAGCTTGCTTGCATTTGCCGTTTGTACTAGTCAGAGGACGGGAGGTCCGTGGCCCGAGTGCTAGCACTACCCCCGCCACACCCCGGGTGGACATCATCAGTTTTTTCCCACAGGACCTGGGCACAGCCTCAGGACCCTTCTGACCACAGCCTTCCAAAAAACGCCAGAGCTTACACTGGAGGCGAAACCATTTCTGCTCCTCTTCTAGTTCTTTCTGAAAGATTGTCCTCCCTTGTGCCACACCTTCCTCTCTTTTTAAACCTGCTCCTAGCTGTCCATTTCAGGAAGCCTTTACTGACTAATCCAAGCCCTCCAGTGCCCCCTTCTGCCACCATCTGGGAATAAGGTTGCAGGAGGGGGTTGAATTCTGACCCCATTTTGACACTGAGGCCCAGGGTGACTTGGTGCCCCGCCTGGCCACACAGTACAGGGTGGCATCAGCTCAGACCCCGCCTCCCTGTTCTGAACACCATGGCAAACTGGGCCTTTGGTGTCTGTGCTGGATATGTCCTGTCCTCCTACCTTCAACCAGGGTCTCCCAGAAAATGGGACTGCACCCCCCGCCCCCGGCCCCCAGCCTGAAGGCAGAGGTTGTCTCTGTTTTCGGCTCCCAGTTCCCTGAGAGTAGGAGGGTCTGTCTCTTTGCCCTACCCCCAGCCACCCTGGTGTCTGGCCCGGGCCGCTCCCCTGGGTGGACAGAGTCGCGGGACAGACTGTACCCTCCCACAGGTTCCTGTCCATGCTGGAGGAGGAAATCTACGGGGCAAACTCTCCCATCTGGGAGTCAGGCTTCACCATGCCTCCCTCAGAGGGGACTCAGCTGGTGCCCCGGCCAGGTATGTGCCACAGCAGGTTCTGCAGGATCTCTGCGTGGCCCTCCTGGCTGAGCTCCGGCCCCCCCGGCCCTGTGGAAGAAAGAGGGGCTGCGAGTGGCTGCAGCGGGGAAACGCAGGAGGGCTCAACTGGGGCTTGGAGGGTCCGATCCCTTTTTGGGACCCACCAACACCTTTGACCCCCGCCGCCCCCACCCCAATTCTTCTGTCTCTCTCAGCTACAGTCAGCGCAGCAGTTGTTCCCAGCGCCCCCATCTTCAGCCCCACCATGGGTGGGGCCAGCAACAACTCCCTGAGTCTGGATTCCGGAGGTGCTGAGCCCATGCCAGGTGGGTACTTGACCCCGCCCCTCACTCACCCCTCCCCCAGCCTCTGGCTGGCCCTGGAAGACCTTGCCAACCTCCCCAGCAGGCGAGAAGAGGAAGCTCCCAGAGAACCTGACCCTGGAGGATGCCAAGCGGCTCCGCGTGATGGGCGACATCCCCATGGAGCTGGTCAATGAGGTCATGCTCACCATCACTGACCCTGCTGCCATGCTGGGGCCCGAGGTAGGCAGCCTGGCTTGCCGGCCTGCAGGAGTGGGGAGCCCTCATGGACCTGAGACCCTGGCCCACCGCCCCGTTTCTGGTGCCCAGACGAGCCTGCTGTCGGCCAACGCAGCCCGGGATGAGACAGCCCGCCTGGAGGAGCGCCGCGGCATCATCGAATTCCACGTCATCGGCAACTCGCTGACCCCCAAGGCCAACCGGCGGGTGTTGCTCTGGCTCGTGGGCCTGCAGAATGTCTTCTCCCATCAGCTGCCACGCATGCCCAAGGAGTATATCGCCCGCCTTGTCTTTGACCCGTGCGTCCCCAGGAGACCCCCCAACCCCAAGGCGCCACCTCTGGGAACCCTTTCTCCTCAGTTCCCAGCCCTGAATACACCTTGAGCCTCCAGGGCTGTGGGGACCTGGAGGGCAGGGGGGACAGGCAGAGACTGTGACCTGTCCCCTCTCCCCTCAGGAAGCACAAGACTCTGGCCTTGATCAAGGACGGGCGGGTCATTGGTGGGATCTGCTTCCGCATGTTTCCCACCCAGGGCTTCACAGAGATTGTCTTCTGTGCCGTCACCTCAAACGAGCAGGTCAAGGTGAGCGCATGCCCCAGCCCCTGCTGCGTCCTGCCTCCTGCTTCCGGGTCTGTACCAGGTCAGAGCAGAGGTTGTGGTGATGCCTCCGCTCCCAGCCCTTCTTCCCGTGGCCAGTTCCTCACTCCCCCACAAGGTGGCACTTGTATTCTGATAGCGGATTAAGAAAACACCTGTTGACAAATGGATGCCAAGAATCAGTAACACGTTTAAATGGAACTGAATTTCTTTCATCGCAAAGATATTTACATATGTTGGGGAGTCAGTAATTTTTACGGTAGCCCTGTGCTGGGTGATAGTCCTGCCTTCTATCCTTTAATCGTCCTTTTTGCATACCCTAGTTCTCCATGGTGCCTCTTCGGGCCTGACCTGTGTGGGAGTGTCCCTTCAGGGCTCGAACGCTGCCCCAAGGGGTATTCTCCTTCTCAATCTGAGGCCCCGGGGCCAGGAACTAGCGGCCTGTGGACAGCTGCTTCCTGGTTGGGTTTGGATCCCAGCCCTGCCCTGCTTGGCCACCTGACCTTGGACGCATTTTCTCACATAGCTGAGTTTTGGTTTTACCTTCTGTAAGTAGGCACACCTGCCTCGTGACTCAAGACTTGGGTAGACTTGGGTAGTCAAGCACCGCACCTGACTCAGAGCAAGTGCTTAGAAATCCACTGTCCTTCAGTTTCTCCCTCATAAACTCCACTCCTCTGCTGGCCACCTTTCCTGCCGTGGACCCCCCGGCTCTCCCTGCCTCCTCCACGCTGCTCCCTCCTCCCTGGCCCCCGGAGACCCATCCGGTACCAAGCCTGCCCCCTCCCCTGCAGGGCTACGGGACTCACCTGATGAACCACTTGAAGGAGTATCACATCAAACACAACATCCTCTACTTCCTCACCTACGCCGACGAGTACGCTATTGGCTACTTCAAAAAGCAGGTGACCTCGCCTCGCCCCACCCCGCCGTGCACGTGCCTGCTGCTTGAGGCAGGAGTCATTCTGTCTGGCTCCTTCAGGTCCCCTGTTCCTTCCAGTATCTGCAGGGACATCTCTCCCCCTATCCATCTCCCCCTTTCTGCTGCCCCAGTAAATAGGGTCCTATGGGGCAGTAAGGCAGCTGGCAGAATTGAGGGGCTCTTCGGGGTGAGCGGGAGGGGCAGCCCACCTAGAATCCCCCCAGGGACACACAGAGCCATCAAAGTGCAGAGCACCGTGCTGGGGACTGCCAGGGGGATTCAGGGACTGGGGGGAGGGGTGCGCCGCAGGTGCTCCTGGGGGAGGCTGGTAAAGTTGGAAACTTACTGATGGATCGGGTCGTGACTCCCGCTCCCTAGGGCTTCTCCAAGGATATCAAGGTGCCCAAGAGTCGCTACCTGGGTTACATCAAGGACTACGAGGGGGCGACCCTGATGGAGTGTGAGCTGAATCCCCGCATCCCCTACACGGAGCTCTCCCACATCATCAAGAAGCAGAAGGAGGTTGTGTGTGTGCACTTGTCCATGGGGCTTTCTGTGGAACATGCGCATGGGGGTGTGCACAAGTGTGGGGATGAACACGTGTGAATGTGGCACGTGTCCATGCGTGTGCACATGTGAGGCAGGCCCAGGGTCTTGGTTCTTGCTCCGCCTCTTGGGAGTGTTAGGAGGAGAGGCGCCTGCATTCCGGGGCCGGGACTCTTCACTGTGGTTCTGGGAGGGTAGTTTCCGGGGCTGAGGTCGGCCCCTCAGACCCTTCCTTCCTCAGATCATCAAGAAGCTGATTGAGCGCAAACAGGCCCAGATCCGAAAGGTCTACCCTGGGCTCAGCTGCTTCAAGGAGGGTGTGAGGCAGATCCCGGTGGAGAGTGTCCCGGGCATTCGTAAGCAGGGGTCTGGGGGGCGGGGTGCAGCGCGCTGCTTGGAGTGCGGACGGGCGTTCTCAGGGGTGGCCTTTGCACTCCCCGCTTTGCAGGAGAGACCGGCTGGAAACCACTGGGGAAGGAGAAGGGGTGAGTGTTGTTTGGAGGGAGAGGGTGTGTGGAGGGAGCAGAGGGACTGGGAGCCTCAGTCTTGGCATCTGTCGCCCCAGGAAGGAGCTGAAGGATCCTGACCAGCTCTACACAACCCTCAAAAATCTGCTGGCCCAGATCAAGGTGGGGAAGCCAGGCTCCCTTCTGGGGGTCCCTGTGCCAGTGGCTATGGCTTTATGACCCAGTGTGGGGTGGGTGGCAGTCACAAGCTGGGCATGGGGCACAGTGGGCCTGGCCTCAGCTGGTCTCTCCTCTCCAGTCACACCCCAGTGCCTGGCCCTTCATGGAGCCTGTGAAGAAGTCGGAGGCCCCTGACTACTACGAGGTCATCCGCTTCCCCATCGGTGAGGATGCTCATCCCGGCCCCTTCCTTCCACTTTGGCCCGCGCGTCGACTCCTTCCCCAGCCTTCACGGGGCCATATGGCCCTATAACTTACTCTCCTCGGCCTCCTAAAGACATGCCCTTCTGTCCTGCTGCCCAGACCTGAAGACCATGACAGAGCGGCTGCGGAGCCGCTACTACGTGACCCGGAAGCTCTTTGTGGCTGACCTGCAGCGGGTCATCGCCAACTGCCGCGAGTACAACCCCCCAGACAGCGAGTACTGCCGCTGCGCCAGCGCCCTGGAGAAGTTCTTCTACTTCAAGCTCAAGGAGGGAGGGCTCATTGACAAGTAGTCCCCAGCCTTGGGCCACAGCCTCAACCTTGAATGTCTCCACCTCAGGTTCTGATCTGATTCCTAGGGAGACCCTGGTGCCCAGGGCCCCCTCAGCTTGAGACACTCCAGCCCTTGACCCTGCAGCCCTCTCTGTACCCGCGGGCACCCCCAGGCCTGCAGCCCGTCCCACCCTTCATCGTGTCTGACCTTGGGAGGGGCGTCCTGGGCCTGCGGCTCAGCCCCTCTGCGGGGGCTGGTGGTCAGAGGATAAACCCTGCCCAGCTCTGGTGGCTCTGAGCCCCGGTCCCCACAGAGCTGTGGTGTTGTAGCATCCTGGGCCTGGCCCAGGCCACTGTTTCCTCAAGGACAGGACCACCGATTTTAGTTTGAGTGAGGGGCTCCAGGGTCAGAAGTTCGATGACCTGAAGGGGCCATGCCTTGCCCTGCACTGTTCTGTCTGTCCCCCAGGGGTGGGGGACATGGGGACCATTCGTTTCCTGGCATTAATCCCTTGGAGGGATCAATAAAGCTCTTTTTTTTTTTCCCTCTGTGTGGTGGTTTCTTCGGTAGTGTCCCAGGCCTCAGCAGGCTGCCCCTGTTCCTGCCAACGCCCCGCCCCAACTTGGTGCACATTCAGCTCAGGTTGTGCTGGGGACCCCTCCCCCACCAAGCCTCATGCCTAGTCCCGTGGCCCTGGGGCCGGGACCCACCTGGCTGTTCAGGTCCAGGTGCCTGGACGACAGGAGTTCGAATCTCCCCCGGCTGCCTTTGCTAGGCCACATGGTTACAGCTGACTCCAAAAGGAGTGGGGGTGGCGTGGGGTGGGGTGGTGGGAACTGCTCTTGGGGACAGGGGTAGCTGCAGCACCCAGAAGTCCTGAGAAGGTGCTTTCCTGTCAGCATTCCTGGCCTCTGAGGCCAGTGGGTGGCAGGCAAGAGGGATTCCTAGGGTTGAACTCCAGCTCAGCTGGGCTGGCTCCTCCCCTCAGTTTCAGTTTCCATTTACAATCGGTTTCCATTTACAATCAGCAGAGCGCAGTGGCTCAGTAGCAGGCTTCCCCACTAAGGCGAGCCGAGCCAAGCAGGGCCGCCCTGGGCAGGTGGTACAGGTGAGGCCGCCTGTCTGCCTTACTTTTCCCTGTCTCCCCCCTTGGCCAGATCAGGTTCCTGGTGGGTGCCCTGTTCCACCTCCCTCAAGCAGGGCGGGGTCTTGGGCAAAGAGAGGACTCTGCACCAAACTGGGCTGACGGGGGAGCAGGAAGAGGGCAGAGCTGAGGTGGGCCGGGTCTCGGAGGGCTCCAGGAGGGCCAGGGGTCTGAGTCCCCTGCCCTTCTCAGCATGGAGCTACGACCCTACCAGTGGGAGGTGATCATGCCTGCCCTGGAGGGCAGGAATATCATCGTGTGGCTGCCCACGGGCGCGGGGAAGACCCGGGCGGCTGCTTACGTGGCCAAAAGGCATCTCGAGACTGTGGATGGAGCCAAGGTGGTCGTATTGGTCAACAGGGTAAGTGGCCTCCCCTCAGTGGACTCCCAGCACCTCGGGTGCTTCTCAAGACCCTCCAGACTCCAGAACTGCTGTGACCATCTCTAAGCTCGCCTTTCGCCCTTCCCAGTCATTGCCCCCTCCCCAGATCCAGCTTCCTCTCTCCATCTCATCTGCACTCCCAGGTACACCTGGTGACACAGCATTGTGAGGAGTTCAGGCGCATGCTGGGTGGGCGTTGGGCCATTGCAACCCTGAGTGGGGACATGGGGCCTCGTGCTGGCTTTGGCCATGTGGCCCAGAAGAATGACCTGCTCATCTGCACAGCTGAGCTGCTGCAGCTGGCACTGACCAGCCCTGAGGAGGAGGAGCACGTGGAGCTCACGGGTGAGGGCTGTAGGCACCCTGCCTGCCATCCCCAGGGCCCCTCCTCCAGTAAAAGACGTTGGGAGATTTTGTGGGAGTGAGGGTTCCCGCCCTCGGCAAACCCCAGCGTATACCCGAATAGGAAAAGGCCCAGCTACAGTGCAGGATCTTGGGCAAGTCCTTTCCCCGCAGCTGGAGCCTCAGTTCATTAATCGGTAAAATGGTAAATCATCCCTGACTGGCCATTCTCTGGTTGCAAGTGGTGAAGCGAGGAAGGAATTCTCAGATGAGTGGTGGGAACCGCGTGACACAAAGCTTATGGGAGGAAGGGCTTTGCAGCACAGGCTCACAGCCTTCCCCCTGTGTCGGCAGCCTTCTCTCTCCTCGTGGTGGATGAATGTCACCACACGCATAAAGACACCGTCTACAACATTATCTTGAACCGGTACCTGGAGCATAAGTTCCAGAGGAGGCAGCCCCTGCCCCAAGTGCTGGGCCTTACAGCCTCCCCAGGCACTGGCAGGGCCACCAAACTCGATGGAGCCATCGACCACATCCTGCAGGTCAGCTTGGCCCCTGTGACCCTCCCCACACCCAACCCACCAGGGACCTCCCTGGCCTGCCCTGCCCTATGCCCACCAGCCCTAGCCGGGCTCACCCAGGCAGGCAACCCCTTCCCTACCTAAGTGCCAGCCTCCAAAGACTTCTTAACATACTTAGAATAAACCCCCACTCTCTCCTCTGGCTTACAAAGTTCTGTGTGACCTAGCCCCTGCGTGAGTCTCCAGCCTCATTCCGCCCCCTCCCCCAGACGCCCCCTATGCTGGCCTTCTCTGTGTGTCTTGAGCATGTCAGGCTTGTTTCCAGCTCGAGACTCTTGCGCCTGCCATTCCTTGTGCCCTGAATGCCCTTCCCCCTGTGCTTTACCTGCCGGCTCCTTCTTGTCTTCCTGGGAACAGCTTAAGTGTCACCCCTTCAAAGGCCCCCCAATCGCCCTGACTGCTCTGTCATGTCATGCAACTTTACTCTCTTCAGAGCTCGTTAACGCTATCTGAAATTCTCTCATTCTGCTGTTCTTTACTGGTTCATTATCCATCTTCCCATCTCCAATGTGAGGTGCTCTGTATCGCCCGTACCTCGAACAGCACCAGGCCCAGAGAGGGCAAGCAATGCAATAAACATTTATTGAATAAATGTACCCCAAACCCAACGGTCCTGCCTCCGCTGGGACCCATCCTACCCCAAAGCTCTGCCCATTGTCCCCACAGGACCCCCTCCCATTCCAATGAACTCCTCTCTGTTACCCCAGCTCTGTGCCAACCTGGACACGTGGCGCATCATGTCACCCCAGACCTACCTGCCCCAGCTGCAGGAGCACACCCGCCAGCCCTGCAAGCAGTACGACCTCTGCCACAGGCGCAGCCAGGTGTGTGGGGGAAAGGGCACAGGGCTGGGGTGGGGCCCGGGGTGAAATCAAGGCACCTGGCCTCCGTTCTCATGAGCTCTGTGACTTCAGCTTCCTTGCTTAGGTGTCTGAGCCTCCATTTCCTCTTTCTGCGAAATGGGGCAGATCCTGCTGTTTGGTTTCACTCCGATGTCACCGTGGACATCTGTCAAATCCCTGGACACCCAGTAGAGTGCTTTTCAAGCCGTAAAGCTGGGACATTTTGTGCTGAGTCTGTTCCAAGCTCCCTCCTGTGGTGTGGACACTGCCTGGTGTCTGCTATGACAGGCTGCACAAGGATAGATGCCACTGGGCTCAGGCCAGAGGTCAAGGACACCTGTGGGGCGGAGAGAGAGAATAGGAGTCAGGTGCAGGAACCTGACCCCTGCCTCCAGCCACACCAGAGCTGTGTGAGAATTTCCTCATTGCCTCACTCTTCTCGTCTAGGACCCGTTTGGGGATATGCTGAAGGAGCTCATGGAACAGATACACGACCACCTGGAGATGCCTGAGTTAAGCCAGGACTTCGGGACTCAGATGTATGAGCAACAGGTGGTGGAGCTGAGCCTGGCCGGTGAGAGAGGTGGCCTGGCGGAGGGCGTGGCGATTGGGGCAGTCCAGCACCTGGTTGGCCTGGGCAGAGCCTCTAGGGGGTGGAGCTCAGCCTTGTGGGGCGGGGTCCAGGCAGCAGAGGGCCCTGGGGGCGTGGCCGCCCTGACTGCTCCCTGCGGGTCTGCAGCGGCTGAGGCCGGGCTCAAGGAGCGGCGGGTGTATGCGCTTCACCTGCGACGCTACAACGACGCGCTCCTCATCCACGACACGGTCCGCGCTGTGGACGCCATGGCTGCGCTGCGAGATTTCTACGACAGGGAACGTGCCACCAAGACTCAGTTCCTGCTTGCTGAGCGCTGGCTGCTGACACTGTTCGATGGTGAGGCTCCCCGGGAGAAAGGGGGCTCACAAGGGGACTAGAGGGCAGGGGCCAGGCCTGGGCGCACGTGCAAAGTTGCAAGTTGGGAAGATGCCAACAAGAGTCCTGGGGCCTCATTTTTCTAACCAAGAGTTAAGGCCATGGGTATGACAAAAGATGTATGCCTTCATTTGTGCAGGTTTGTGAAGATCTAAAAACTAATATACCTTGTTGACGAAGATTTTTTGAAAACCATTTCACTGGGACTGTCCCTGAACGTCTAGGGTGTGTGGTACCTTTAACCTGGGAAAGTGACGTGGTCAGAGGGTGAAATTTAAGGCTACAGGCCTTGGCCCAGGCTGAGGGGGCAAGGATCCTTCTGCAGAGACCTGAGGTTGAGTCAGTCCTGGGTTGCAGAGGTCCACGTGAAAAGGTCAAGGGTCGCCCTGGTAGCAGGGTTGAAGAGGGGTACGGGGTAAGTTTGTGAGCCAAGAATTCTAGGCTGTAGTTTCGTGGTGTAAGGCTGGCTGGCCTTGAGGCTGGGCAGGGAGAGGGTGCCCTTATGTGTGTTCTTGGTGCTGTTCGGGGGAATGAGGCAGGGGCAGCCTTCGCAGGCCCCCTCCGAACTCCTGCAATCTCACCCCTGTGAGCCACCCACCCTCATGTCCTGCCCACCTCCAGTCCTGAGTCCTGTGCTTCTGTTTTGGGGCTTTTCTGGCAGACCACAAGAATAAGCTGGCCCTCCTGGCAACTCATGGCCCAGAGAACCCCAAGCTGGAGATGCTGGAGCAGATCCTGCGGGAGCAGTTTAGGAACCCCAGTGGCCACCGGGGCATCATCTTCACCTGCACCCGCCAGAGCGCTCACGCCCTCCTGCTGTGGCTCCAGCAGCAGCCTGGGCTGCAGACAGTGGACATCAGGGCCAAGATGCTGATCGGGGCCGGGCACAGCACCCAGAGCATCCATATGACCCAGGTGTGGACTTTGGGGAGAGGGGCTGTGGATAGGGAGTTCCCGAGGCAGGGAGAGAGAGGGGAGAGCCTTCAGCACAGGGTGGGAGGGGACCAGTTATCCCCAGGCAGAGGACAGAGCTGGGGAGAGAGGCGGGCACTGAGATCCCCAGGGCTGAAGGTTCCCCCAGCCTGAGGGTCTCTAGGGGCAGAGAGGCAGAAACTTGGGGATCTGCAGGGAAATGAGTGAGTGACATCCTCAGGACAGAGGACCAGGGGTCTGGGGTCCCTGTCCAGGAGAAGGACAGGTCCTGAGAGCTCCTAGAGTACGGGAGCAGGAGCCCTTAGGAGTTAGATGTTCACCTGGGAGAACAGGCAAGATCCTGGGGGTACCTGGAGATAGAGACAGAGACTCAAGATCCCTTGGGGGGGGGGAAGGCCAAGATTTTGAGTAAAAGGGCTGAACCAGGCGAGACTGGGCTGGCAGGAGGAAGCCACCTCATGTGCCTTCCTCCTTCTCCTCCCCCACCCGCAGAGGGAACAGCAAGAAGTGATTTGCAAGTTCCGGGATGGCACCCTGAACCTCCTGGTGGCCACGAGTGTGGCGGAAGAGGGACTGGACATCCCCCAGTGCAATGTGATTGTGCGCTACGGGCTCCTGACTAATGAGATCTCCATGGTCCAGGTGCCCAAACCACCCCCTCAACAGTCCTCGAAGGATCTGTGTGGGAACCCAGCCCCACTCAAGCCCCTCTCTTCTCTCCCTCCCCAGGCAAGGGGTCGTGCTCGGGCTGATAAGAGCGTGTACTCATTCGTGGCAACCCAGGGCAGTCGGGAACTGCGGCGGGAGCAGACCAATGAGGCACTAGAAGCTCTGATGGAACGGGCAGTGGCTGCTGTGCAGAAGATGGACCCAGCTGAGTACGAGGCCAAGGTCTGAGGGCAGCTTGTGCACCCACAGACTGGGGAGGGGGGCTGTGGGAGTTCTGCCTAGAAGGGCTCTGATATAAACACGTACACACTCCTTCCTCTGGGGGCTAACTCAGCCCACAGGGTGAAGGTCTGAACCTAGGGAGAGGCAGAGGCCAGGGATGGGTTGCCAGGAAAACAATGGCTGTTTCTCCAAAATGCCTTGGGAACAGGCCTTGTCCAGGCCTTTTAATTTGTCCTCATCACCAAGTACTTTGTGGATCTGGGAGAGCCGCCTCACAGCCCTTTTGGAACCAAGCAGAAGGGAAACAAAGAAAGACATGCACAAGACAAACCCAGAATCGGGACTTAACTCAGTCCCCTGAGGTAGAGTCACCATTGCCGGGCCTCGTGCAAGATGGTCCCTGTTTATTCCCATTGTCCCAGCATAATTTTTAATGATACCCCAGGTTAGATTCAAAGAAGCCACTTGGCCTCCCAAGTTGGGGCAAAGATTCCATGAGAAAGCTTGCCTTGCTCCCATTTTGGCTCCCCAGCCCAGCATGAGCTTTCTCCGCCAAGCTGCTTCTGAGAGCTCCAGGGAGGGCCGAGGAAAGTCCCTCTGGGCACTAAGGAACTTCCGTCTTTGACAGCGCTTGGTTGCCCTGGGAGCAGGCCTGCGGTCAGGCCTCCTGCACCACAGCCATGCCCGGTGTCTCCTCCCACCCCAGATCCGGGACCTGCAGAGGGCGGCCCTGGTCAAGCGGGCAGCCCAGGCAGCGCAGCAGGACAGCCGGCGGCGGCAGTTCCTGGCAGAGCACATCAAGATCCTCTGCATCAACTGCACGGTGGCCGTGGGCTACGGAAGTGACCTGCGGAAGGTGGAGGGTGCCCACCACGTCAACGTGAACCCCAACTTCTCGTGAGACCTGTGGAAGGGGCTGTCCAGATGAGAGGAAGGGTGGGGTGCATTCAGAGTTTGCGAGGTTAAAGAGCATTTTAACAAGTGATCGAGTTTGCATGTTTACAGTAGTCTGGTCAGACAGGCTTTATCCCCGCCCCGTGTCACGGGTGAGGACATGGAGGCTCAGTGAGGCTCAGCCACTTGCCCAGGCCCCCACAGCCACTCAGTGGGAGAGCAGGAGTTGGAATTCAGGGTACCAAATGCTGAGGGGCCGCACACTGGCCCCTTTGGCCTGCATACGTGTACTCTGAAGACATCTAGAGGGGCTGGTTGTCTCTGAGCCCTCCGCTTATCCTCTGCCCGCTACGGGGTGGCCTTCCCCATCCCCTATTAATTTATCCGTTAAGTAAGTGTTCCTGAGGCACCTATTGTGTGCCAAGCCACTGTGCCAAGGGTCTTCACATGTCTTCTCCCATTTGAGGAGGTAGCAGCTAGGCCTTGAAGGATGGGTTGGGTTTGACCCTGAGGCGGTGAGGATAGACGGGGGTGACCTGACCAGAGTGATGCTGTCGACTTGACTGGGAGAGACTGTGAAGGATGAGATTCCAAAGGAAGACAGACTAGCCTGTGGAGGAACTTGAAGGTCAGACCTGAAAGTTCAGCCTGTGTTCTGCAGGCAGTGAGGCATCTTGGTGGATTTTGAGGGAATGGCAGAGTTGGTTTTCCCTCAGTAGAAGCTCACTCTGGCAGTGGGTGGAAGGATAGCGCAAGGGTGGGAGGAAGGACGGAATGGGGTGGAAGGGTGGGGCAGGGAGGTCCATTGGGAGGCTGTTAGATCGTCCAGGTGGGTAGTACTGAGGCCTGAACTTGGGCAGAAGGGAGTGGAATGGAGGCAGCACAGGCCGAGCTTATTGGAGCCTCTGTGCCTCTTGACAGGCAGGAAGGTCCAAGGCCCAGGCGGAGGCTCGCCAAGTAGGATGGCACGTGGTCTGGGGCTGGGGGTCGATGAAGGCCGTGATCACTCCCATTCCTTTCCAGGATCTACTACAACGTCTCCAACAAGCCTGTGGCCATAGACAGAGTCTTCAGGGACTGGGTGCCCGGGGGTGCCATCAGCTGCAGGAACTGCGGGGAAGTAAGTGCGGGCGCCGCGGCCCTCAGCTCCAGTCTTTAGAAGTCCTCATTCTGAAGAGGAGGCCCTGACTCTGCCATCAGGGGGCGCTCATGGGATGCAGGAGGCCTGCCCCAGGAGTCCTCAGCCCGATCCCTGATTTAGGGAGCCCACAGTGTGAGGAGGGAGATAGCTCTGTCTGAGGAACAGACATGAACCCTGCATTCAGAGGCCCTAACTTGAGGAAAGAAACCCAGTCTGACGGTAGACCCCCCACAACCCACTGTCTCTGTCCCCCCTCCCCCAGCCCTGGGGTCTGCAGATGATCTACAAGTCGGTGACGCTGCCCGTGCTCAAAGTCTGCAGCATGCTTCTGGATACGCCGCGGGGGCGGGTCCAGGTCAAGAAGTGGTCTCGTGTGCCCTTCCCTGTGCCTGACTTCGACTTGGTGGAGCACCTGTCAGACCTGTCCCTGAACTGACCGTCTTGTCACTGCAGTATCCAGTTCAGGCTGTAGGGGGCAGGAGAGTCCGCAGCAGCCACCGGCTTTCCCTGAGCAAAGCCTGGGAGCAGGTCCCTCCTGCCTGAGTCATCAGCCCAGGGCTTCTGGCTGACCAGCCTCAGAGGAACCCCAGGTGCCCGAGCTGGCTTCACCTCCCACACGGGGGGAGCAGTGGAGGGGGGCACAACGCATCCCCTGGCCCTGCTCACACCCACTCAGACACTTTGATACGAACTGGAGGGAGCAGGGTTGGGCGGTGGAGAACTCAGTCGGGAGAATGGCCACACTACAGAGTAAGAGCCCCCTTATCTGTGGTTTCGCTTTTACAGTTTGTTACAATTAACTGCGGTCCAAAAAATATTAAGTAGAGAATTCCAGAAGTAAACAACTCGTAAGTGTTAAATTGCACACCATTTTAAGCAGTGTGATGCAATCCGGCGCGTCCCCTCTCCGGCTCCGACCCACCTGGGACGTGAACCACCATCCCTCTGTCCAGCGTGTCCACGCTGTATACGCCGGCTGCCTGCGAGCCCCTTGGTGACTGCCCGGCTGGCAGAGCGTCAGTGCCTGTGGCCGAGTAACCCTCCGTGGGGCCTAATGCTATGTCACGATGCTTACTTCCCCCCACTTCATGTTGTCACATAGGCACTGCGTCACCTCACGTCACAGGAAGGTGGGTACAGGGCAGTAAGATATTTTGAGAGAGACCATATTTACATAATTTTTATTACAGTGTAGTTTATAATTGTTCTATTGTTAATTTCATCCTGTGCCTCATGTATAAGTTAAACTCTCTCCAGTTTGTGTGTAGAGGAAAAGATAGTCTATGACAGGTTTGGTGCCATCTGTGGTTCCAGGTTCCCCCTGGGGGTCCTGGAACACGCCCCCGGGGGTGAGGGGGCTACTGAACTAGGAATCGCTTCAGTTCCCCTTGGCCCTTTGACATTCCTTCCCTGCAAGGCCACTTCTATTTTTTGAGGCTCCCCATAAATCAAAAGTAAAGAAATGGGAAAACGGTGGAGGAAATGGGTAGTATTTTACAAACAGATTTGTGAGGCATAATTGACAAAATAAACGGTACGTATTTATCGTGTTTACTTGGTTGTTTTAATGGATGAATGCACCTCCCCAATCAAGATAATGAATATAGGTAGCCACCACCCTCAAAACTTTCCTCACACCCACAATAATCTCTCCCTCCTCCCCTCCCCATCCATCGATCTGCTCTGTGGTTGTATTTTAAGGTTAAAAGTTTGTTTTTTAACACCCCTCTTTTTTGGCTATCATGTAACCTTTTGTGGCGAGAGCACCAGGAGTCATCGAGATCCATCATTCCTGCCCCCTCCTCATAAGACGCTCCACCCTCAACGCCTTCTCTTCCCCAAACCCCCAGGCAGGGTGGGTTTGTCCCTGCCCCTGGGCTTGGGAGAGGCTGAGAGAATTTGAGGGGTAGGCTTGGAGGTGGGGAAGTTATAAAGGCCTAAATTTTCTGTTCTCATTTTAACAAGAAAGAAAGAAAGAAAGAAAAAGAAAGGCAAGATCTAGGTTGATTCTTCAGGGAAAGGGCTATTTCTGTAGTAAGAGGCCCAGCAGGCAGGAGTCACCTTCAGGAGGACAGGCGGGGGCCAGGGCAGAGATTTGAGGGCAGGATGGCAGTCCTTCCTGCCATCTCGCCTCCGCTCCTGCTCCTCCTCGGTCCTGCCTCGGGGCCAATGAGGAAAAATGCCCTTTCCCCTGCCCCGTATCTTCTTTCTTCCATCCACCTCTTCGCTGATTGAGCTAAAATTCCACTTCTGGGCTTTTTGGCTTCCTTCCCCCCAAGAGCGTGCACCCTTCTTTGCCAAGGCCCCTCTTCCTCCTGATCACCCATTTTTTCCCCTCCTGTCCCATTCCCGCCTCTGGGGTCCCTTCGGCATCTGCTCCCACTTCACCTTCGGTTGTTACCACCCTTGCCAGCAACGTGCCTTTTACAGGTCAACAAAATTAGCGACAGGGGGCAGAGGGAGGGGCGGGGGCCCAGGGGTGCTAAGCTCGATGGCCTTGAATGCGGCTGTAGCACGGAGTCCGGACGCCTGTCATTCCAGGGCTAAACAGTGACAGCTGAAGGACCTGCGCTGGCGTTGGGGGCTGGCGGGGGAGGGCGGGTGTTGCGGGGAGAGGGATGGACTGAGAAAAAAGACGGCCAGTCCCCTCAGTGGCCTGAGCACCTGGGTGGGGGACCCTGACTTTAGAGGGGGTGTCCCATTGCGCACCCACCTTCCCAGGCTGGGAGAGCTTTCTTGAGCTCAGAGGGAAGGGGGAACTCAGGCAAGGGGGGGTTCCCGGGCTTTCTTCTTCGTGTGAGGGGTCTTCCTATGGAGCCACTGCCTCCAGGGCAAGGATGCCTGAAGGAGAGGGTTTCAGGAGGTCCGCAGGACCCAGGTATCCTAACTCCCCAGCCCTCAGAAAAGCCGGAGCCCCCGACCTGCCGAGTGGCTCCCCCTTTCCTCCCCACCTGAATAAGCCGGTCCGCCCACGCCCACCCGACGGAGGCTCAGGGTGGGGCTGGGCCGCAGCTCCCCTTCCCGGGCCCCGCCCCCGCCCCGCCCCCTCCCGGGCCAGCCCAAAGCCGCCGTGCTCCGGAGCGCAGCGAGAGCAGGTGGCCGCTGCGGGCTCCGTCTCTGCCCCGCAGGTAAGTCAGCGACGCGGTCTGGTCCACGCGGAGGACCTCGAGGGCAGGACAGGAGGACAAGGCAGCCACTTACACCTGTCCTGTGTCCTTGTCTCAAAACTGGGGGACTCCAAGGGACAGAGAGGACATCCCTATCAGCTCTGTGCTCCTGACGCCCAACATCTAGTGGGTGGGACTAAACTCTGGGGAAGTTTAGAAGGTCCTGGCTGTTTATCCCTGATGCCGGGGCCGGCTCCGATGGATAGGCAAGGGCAGAGCTGGGCATTAGGCACACAGTTTTCTGGAGGAGAGCAGGTTGGGCTTGGTGACTGCAGGGCTCTGGGTAGGGGACCTCATTGACTAGCGTGCCCCATGCCTCATCCAAGGGCAGCACCCTCCCAGCCCCCACGTAGAGAGGGATGGGGCAATCCAAACAGCTTCTGTTCTATGTGCAAATGAGGCGAGGACCAATGCACAGCTGAACTGGGGCCGGGGTTTTCTGCTGAGCTCCGGAGCCCTGCATCACTCATTTACGCCTGGGTACAGGTATGCGGCCTGGGTACAGGCATGCGCGGGCGAGGGGCATGAGGGAGCAGGAGCTGTCCAGACTGCCTGGGGGCCCTGGAGGCCTGGGAACTGATTAGGTTTTTTCTGTGTCCACGGCTCAGAGCCACATGGGGGAAGGGAGCAAAGTGGGGTGGGTTTGTACCCTCTGGGTTGGAATTTGGGCTGTAGAAAAGGCATCCTGCTTCCCAGAACTTGAAGGAAGGCTTCTGGAAAAGGAGGTCCTGCTTAGAGCTCTGAGTCACAAAGCAGAGTCAGACTTTGGGCCTCGCTGCTGGGTTGGGGTAGAGCGGAGGACCCGGACTATAAAGCAGAGGGAAGTCAGCATACTGCCACGGATCCAGCCAGGGCCACGCTGACCTTCTAGAACATCAAACCTACAGAGAGACCACATCCAAACTCAGGTGGGAGGGCTTCCTGTGTCTAATTCCTCTACTCCCTGTCTCCTCCACACACTATCATTGTCAGGAAGTTCTTTCTCATGTCTGACCTTCATCCCTTCTGCTTCTGTGCCACGTCCTTGCTTCTGGAAGGCAATGTGCTATTATGGAAACAGTGGGGGCTTTGGGGTCATTTAGACTTCAGTTCTATCACCTCTACCTACTGTGTGACGTTGGACAAGTTACTTAACCTCTTTGCGTTCACTTCCCCACCTGTAAAATGGGGATAATAATAGAACCCACCTCATAGGGCGGCTTCAAGGATTAAGTGAGAATACGCCTGTAGAGTGCTGAGCACAGTGCCTGGCGCCTGGTGAGGGCTCAACAAGTATAAGTGTCCCCTCTTGTGTGGGACAGCAAAGCCGATCTGCAGGGGGCGGGGGTGGGGGGTTGGAAGTTTTTTTTTAAACTTGGCCGGGGAGAGCGCCGCCCTTCGCCACCGCCAGTCCCTCAGCCCCGCCCCTGCCGTCCGGGATCTCTGCTGGGCCTGCCTGCGTGCTGCCCAGGGCCCCTCACCGCCTCACCTCTTGGTCACCCTGTTTTTGTCTGCGGTGAAGAGAGTGTCCGCAGCAGGGCAGGGACCGGTGGCAGCAGGAGCCCACTCGGGACTGTGCTTCAGGGGAGCACACTGGCTTAGATACCCCGCTGAAAAAACATTCTCTTGTCATCACCTCCCCGCCCTCCCCACCGCCAGGAATCCGCAAGGTGGAATCAAGCTGCACTTCTTCCAGGAGAGACTGAAAGTCCCGTTTGGGGACCGTCCAAGCAGCCCTCCAATGGAAGGGCAGTACAGCCCCTGACCTGAGGGCTGGAGGCTGCTGGGGGAGCCGGGTCTAGAAGGCACCACTGAACCTGGGCAAGGGAGGGGTGCCTGCGCCCTGACTGGGTGCTTCTCCGGCCACCGCCCTCCCTGCGGGGTGAGGAATCAGCCAGGCCAAGGGCAAGAACCTGTTCATCCCCTTCAAGACCGCATTCCCCATACTTGTGACTCTGGGGCCCTGCCCAGATGGTCACCAGCTTGCTCCGAGCTCACGCAAGCCTCCCCCCGGGCCTGTTCTCCTCCCGGCAGCGTGTGCCCCTAGGTGTGCACCCCAGACCTGGGGGGTGACTGGAGACAGCTAAGGGACAGCTGTTTGCAGGGCATGAAAGTGGAACTAGGATGTGAGGCCGGGTGTCCACATACGCGCAAGTGAGTCCTTTGTCGTGCAGAAAGGAGCCGGCAGTAGGAAGGGGCGGGGTGGCAGGGGCCAGGGTGGAGCTACTTCTCCCTCCAGAGCATTGTCCTCCTGCAGGACTCCGCGGAGTCAGAGAAATCTAGGTTGGAACCTGGTCTTCCAGGCCGTTATGAAAGTACATTTTAATGAACAGTTGGTTCGCTCGATGTGTAACTTTTAAATATTTAGGTACGTGTATGTGGGCCCCCATTTGTCCTCTAGTCCCAGGCCCTGCCAATGTTAGGGGTGGGCCCAGCAGTACCTGTGACCGACACAGCTATTTGGTGTATTCCCTTCCCACGGGCTGTCCCCGAATGTAGTTGTGCTCCTGTAAAACAGGACGTAGGACACATCTTCCGGGGACCAGGAAGGAGTTTCAAGGTGAAATGGAGACTGTCAGCTGTCACCAACAAGCAGTCCCCCCTTGGGCCTCCTGACCTCATTCTCCACCCAAAATTGGGACAGTTTTTAAAAATGTCCTGTGATGCTTAAGAGGGAAAGATGGGCAGGAGGGAGGTTGCTTGTCTTCTGCGTGTGGGGTGGGTGTGGGCAGGCACTGGACCCAAGGAGCAAGGAGGGAGCTCGTGGGGCCCCAGCAGCAGGAAAGACGGAAGTTAGACTGGGGGGTGGTCCAGGCCGGACCCCACCATCCCTCCAGCTGCCCTTCGCACAGAGAGGTGGGCCTGTGTCTGACGTGTGGGTCCTCCTGTAAGTGTGCATTTTGGACCTTGGATGGGGAAGAGCGTGGGGGGCAAGCTGGCCAGGCGGCGGGAGTCACCCCTGGTGGGGACAAATGACCTGTCAGTCTTGACTGTAGTTGAATGCCCTGTGGCACCCGGACACACCGTCTGTTCAGAAGAGAGACGGGCAGTGTTTCTGTGGCCGTCTCTGAGCTGCTCCATTCCAGCCGGGCTGTTTGAGGACCTCCCTGCGCCTCGGCCTCCCTAGTGCCGGGAAGTGCGTGGTGGGACTGGACACGCACACATTCAAACAGGCGCCCCCACACAACACTCGCACTCAGACCCTCACACAGCCAGGCACACATGCCACCTACACAAACACACGGGTGTCGCTATATACAGTCGCCCCCCAAACACGGCTCCAAGCGCAGTCTTGGGAAGGGACCCCCCGCAGACCCCCCTGCATGTACACTTTGCAAGCCCCCGAGCCTTCACCACAGTCACAGTCTCACTTTTCCCCATTGGTGACTTTTCATTCACCTTGGGTGACCCGCCAGCTCAGTGGCCAGGGGCCAGATGCCTGCAGTGGTTCAGTGTTGGGGACAGAAGGCAGCAGCGCTGCCCCGCTGGGACTCTTCGCACACCCCACGGGCTTGGTGTTCGGCACCTCTGCTCCCCCGGGTCTCATGGGGGCCTCTGCAGGTCCTGAGTCTCTCTCAGTCCCTCTGCCCGGTGTCGTTCTGTGAGCCTCTTGCCGCCTCAGCCTGTAAGCGTGTCTGTCCTGTACCTCCTGCGTGCTCTCTGCTCGGTTCTTCCCCTGTTCCTATGCCTGTCAAGCTCTGTTTGTCTCTCCTCTCTCCTTGAGTGTTTTTTCTTTCCTGTGGGTCTTTCTGTCTTCATCTAACTGAGACTCTTGTGTGTGTGTCTCTGTCTGTCTCCCTGATTTTCGGTGTGAGTTTCTGCCCTTTCTGGCGCGCGCATGTGCGTGCGCGCACACACACACTTCCCTGCTCTCTCCTGTCACTCAGCTCTGTCTCTGTGTGGCATCTCTCAAGTCGGCCTTTCTGTGTCCATATTTCTGTCTTTCCCTCCGTCCACCTCTGCCTCTGAGTCTGGGTGTCTGTCTCCTCGTTCTCTCCCTGTCTTATTCTCGCGAGGGGTCCCAGAGGAACAGGACAGCCAAACATCTCAAAGTGTAGAAGAAGGTGGCAAAGCCTCAGGGAAGAGGGGCTGCCATCATCTCTGGGCCCCTCCAGTGCCTGGCAAGGAGTTGGGGAGAATATCAGCCTCTGGAGGGGACAGCTGTTGATCCACCTCCCCCAGCTCCTCTGCTGAGAACTTAAGATCTTGGGGGCTTTGGCTCCAGACTCTGAAATGTTGATCATTGGCGACAAGGCCTGGGAGCAGGGCTGGGGGTTCAGGGTGATGCGGGAGAGAGCCCCTGACTTTCTGGTTGATCTGAGTGACGAGCTCAGAAGAGGCGTGAACCTGAGTGGGGCTGAATTGACACTTTTCTTTTTCCTCGAAGCAGCCAAGCTCAACGCACCCACCCCAGCCCCAGCTTCCTGCTCCAAACCACCACCGTGCTCCCCACCCCGTTCCAAACATTTCCGCCAACTGCCCCTGGGCTGCGGGGCCTGTTCAAACAGCCTCCCCACCCTCCTCCGGGGCTTCCGCGCCTCCGCAGGCCTCTCCTCGCTGCCATGGCTCCTTGCACAGGAGCGGCTGTGTTGGCTGTTTGTTTGACTAAGGTTTCCTTGGGTGGGGTGAAGACCAACTCCACTGATACTTCTCTCCACCTCAGATGCCCAGGCAGGGGGCCAGACCAGCCCTGCCACGCTCCCTCTGCCCTCACCGCCCTCCCAGAGGCCCCCCCGCAGGCCTCTCCTTCCTCCCCAGGCCCCGACTCCCCTGCTCTCCTGCCTCAGGTCTGTCAATTTCTACAAGCAGGATGGGGGGTCCGAGTCACACCCCCGCACACACCCACCTCGTCCCTGGCCTAGGGGCGGGGACATGCTCAGGGAAGGTGCTGAGACCTGGGACCCTGAGCTTCTCTAGGGGACCCCAAAGAGGAACATGTGGTGTGTGGTCTTTGAAATGTGAAGTGCAGGAGGAGTCTGCCC